GCAAACGAACAATTTCATGTAGACAAGAATACGCCCACACAGCAACAAAACCGAGTTCTGAGACACTCGTCTGAAGTTTGTTAATTTTTCAAATCGCAATTTCATATACATTTTTACCCCCCCAACAAAGTTGAACAATATAAAACTGATGCGATAGCCTAGTTGTTAAATAACCCTGCTGTATCTCCGTTGTCGTATACTATAAAGATTCGTCACTTCGTCAAAAAAAATAATTCGGAGTACGCACAATCGTCGTGTGTATAGGCCTATTATTATCTAGCGTTGTGTTGGTACACAGATTCGACACAGATTCGCCACAGTTGCCACAGTATTGCCACTTTGTATAATTAGCGTAATTAACGAACGATGCAATTGTGTGTCTTGAAATTGAAGTGTGGCAGAAAATTTAGAGGACATCATTTATTAAAATGGTAGAATATCAAAAAATGCCATATTGCTTAAAGTTTACCGGTTTAGACGGATTCTTTACGTCACCTCAGTCGTCAAAATTGTTACGACAAGTTGATGTTCAAGATGACGACAAGATGAAGCTTAGAAATGGCATTGTTATTTAGTGGCTTCTTGTTAACGTTTAAAGCCCAAGATTTAGTTCACTGAAGTGCAAAATACATCTTCATGGGCCTACAACATGCACATCCGCAGTGGAGTTTAAACAAAAGATGGCAAGAATGTTTTGAGGTAACGTTCGTCAGCAAGACGATTCAGTGTTCAGATTATTTACGCGTCTATCATAAAGGCATAGGATCATTTGCAGTTCATGCATTTGTTCGTTTCCAGTAAAAACATCACTCAAAATACAAAGAACCTTCAAAGCTGCACTTCGTCAGCGTTTTCACGAAGGGACGAATTATGCATGCTCAAAAACATTTTTCAAAATTCCTTTTTTTCGGCCGAAATCGGTTAAGTGAACAGCAGCGAACATTTTGGCCAAGTTTTTTTTCGTCAAAATCAAATCATGACAATCACTACTGATTCTTCTTTGTTGTTGAGTTTTCTTGAAGAGACAAATTCAAACTCTGTCACGTTCTATGGGGCAAAAACAACGCGCGTGTGGAATTTAAGCAAAAGGGCGCTCTTGTGGGATTATTAGTTTTCACGAAGAGACGAATTCGCGCAAAGGGTATGGGCAGTGGGTATTGGCAATGTGCCAAAACAACAGGCGTGTGGGATTTTGAGTTTTTACGAACAGACAAATTTCTATGGAGATTAATTACTCAGCATTTAATTGTTCTGTTATACTGCAATTGGTACATCTTTTTCACAGTGAAAAGTTGCTGACGTCATTAAGTCAGTTTACTTTCACTATTGCGTTATTATGGCTTTTTTTTGCGGGCGGTGACACACGAACAAAAGCCGGCTTGGAATTAAGTCAGTATGTTGTGTCCCCGTACGCTGATCTCGAGATATGTTTCGTGTAGGCCGGTTTGCCGTTCATAATTTTTTTTTACTTCAGCGATGAACAGTCTTCACTGATACCTTCCTTCCGTTTTTGGTCAGTAAGGCCAAAAAAAAAAAAGTCTCCGGTTTCTGGTATGCGCGCGCGTCGCCGTAGCCATGCGCGTCGGCAAAATGAAAAAGTTTTTTTTTTCAATGAAAGATGATGTCTCAAAACCGCCAAACTCACTGGTTTGACTGGAATCCTGCTGCTGCACAATTTTAACGTGTTTTTAGATTGGGTTATGGTCGAGAATGAGCCTTATGTGGCCTCTCTGGACTCCCATATATTTGCACTAAGTTTAGTCGGGCACCATTTGAAGCAAAAAAATCAGGTAAAAAAAAAAAAGAAGCCGCGTCGCCGCACCACTTTTTGGGCAAGCTCCATACCAGAAACCGGAGACCTTTTTTTTGGCCTAGCCCTAACGTAAGGAATTTGACATTTTTATTGGGTCGGTTTCATGGAGCAGATAGAAATGTTTGAGCCCATTCACAGCAGGCACATACGGTCAACGAATTTCTACACGGGGTTTATTTTAGCTGTGTTGTTCACAGCAGTGCCAGTGAGGACAACATTCAATTTCAAGTCTTTTGAGAACACTAAACTAAAGGTGATGTACGTACCCTGGGCTTGTGATAAGCTTTGGGGAATCCTTCAAGTCATCTCATGTAAATACCTCATTGAAATTGTCTCAACCGATGGGATCAGGGGTAGGGGACTATTTGATCATACCCCCCCCCCCCCCCCCCACACACACACACTTTTTCGTGGTGAGGAACAAAAAAGGCGAATTCAGAGGTACTTTTCGAACTTGCCCCCAAAAAAGTACCCATGTTGAAAAAGGTACAAATTAAATTTGCCGTTTTGATGTGAAGCTAAGGGGCATAAGCATACATAAGATGTATCATGAACAGAGCCCCCTAGTGTTCTTGTGATGTCCAGCAAGCCCCCCCCCCCCCCCCCAAGTCAATTTTGTTCATGTCAAATGATTTTGCATCTTTAGGTGATTGCTGTCCAGATGGTTGGCACAGAGAGGGAAGTTTCTGCTTCGATGTCGTCTACTTTGCTTCGCAAGGACACAGATTGAAATGGCAAGAAGCTGAGGATGCATGTATAGCTGCCGGAGGGCATCTTGCCAGCATCCATACTGCACAGCAACAGCACTATGTATACGGTGAGTATTAACTCGTCTGCGGATATATATTGCAGGTACTGAATTATGTATATAAGTGAGTGCCTTTTATAAGCCAACGTTTGTTGTAGCCAGACCTTTGCAATCTCTTAGAAAACTTCGTTTGAAATTTGACTTTCAAACTCCCTGTGACTTCAACATTGTTCCCACAGGTACGATCTTGCTGCACCACGTTGGTGGCCCACCATGCCTTGTAGGATTTTTTTGTAATTTAAATATCCAACTATTAGGCAGATTTAAATTAGGACTGTTGTCGTTTCGATTGTGATTTTTTTGTAGAATCAATCCTTTCAATGAGATTTTGACATCGCGTTGCTAGAATTTATAATGTGCGTACCTCTGTCATCTCTTTTACAACACAAAATACAGTTATTTTTTCGCAAAAAAAGAGAGCCTGCCAGACCTTCCATTTAGTAGACATGGTAAAGGCATCGCACAGTCTTGAAAAAAATGTTTGTACGTAACATTTCATGCAGGAAACTACGCAAATGCATACAATGCATTCAGCCCTCGAAATACGCGTGCAGTGGCCAGGGGTTAGGCCAAAAAAAAAATAAGTCGGTGTCTGGTCAGCGCGCGCGTCGATTTTAATCATGCGCGTCAATCTTTTTTTTCAAAATGTTCCGCGGTAGCTCCAACAGCGCCCTCTATTGCCGCACCTCCTCAATTTTTTTTTACCAAAGGGCACCAAGGCAAATGATCGAGAGCACCAAGGCAAATTATGGAGGACACCAATGTACATGAGGACACCAAATAGCAAAATAGTACCCCACCTTGTCTGTACAAACAAAGCTTGAAGAAAAAAAAAAAAAGCCGCGTCCCCGCGTCAATTCCGGAACTTTGGTCTGACCAGAGACCGAATATTTTTTTTTTTGGCCTTAGTGAAGGATCAATGCAACATATGGAGTCAAGGTTGCTAAGACTTTTCAAAGAGTGTGATGTCCTGAAACTAATATATTGGTTTTAGAACATTAAATTTAGAGGCAACAACTCCTTCCGAATGAAGAGCTTTGTATGTTGTGCTTGTTTCACGCTCAAGCTAAAGTTAGAACTGTAGGCCCGAGTCAGGTGTTGTGCATGGTCTTTACAGTATACACCTAAACACACAAAAGTGGTATGCACGTTTATGTGGCACTTCCAGCACTTTGGGTATGACATTGATGATGGAATTCAGAGCTGGGTTGTGTTCAGGTGCGGTTCTAGAACCAATATTTGTGGGGGCTAGCAAGGTGGATCCAGAATTTTTTCAGGGAGGCGTGCTGAAATGTAGACAGGTTATTTTCTCCAAACACTTAGGCCTCTGAAAATCAATGGGGGGGGGGGGGGGGGGGGGGGGGGGGCTTGGCTTGGCTTGTGCCATATTTTCAATGGGGAGCGCTGATAAAATCCTACAATCAGGCACACTATATTAAGTAAAAGCGTACAAATGCACCCTTCTCATTTAGGGGGAGACCGTTCCCATGTACGTCAAATTCTGACATTTTGCTAGTGCATTTTTTTTTATGGAATTTTTTTTGGGGGGGGGGGCTAGAATTTTTTTTAGGGGGGGCTAAAGCCCCCTAGCCCCCCCCCCCCCACGTAGAACTGCTACTGGTTGTGATGGCAGTGTGTTTTGTGGCTGTCGACTTGCATCCGATATGATTTAAGTCTAAGAGCACCTATTGAAAAAAAATGGTGGGCGTAGCGGAAAAACTGTTGGTCCGACAGGGCTAAAACTTAAAATTTCAGCTTTTTCAGGCAAAATTACCCCGTAAAGCAAAAATGAACCAATTTGAAGGGGGTGGGGTTAACCCATTGGGTGATCTGACACGGAATGACCCCCCCCCCCCCATACTCATGAGATTACACATTGTTTTTTGTATCATTTTCGCATTCATACTCGTAAGAAATGAATTGCATATACTTGTGGCAAAGTACTTCTACACATACTCCAGATGAAATTTTAATTGTTGTTGTTATACATGCAGGAAAAGCAACCCTTGTGTTTTTACTGTTTAGTATGTTTTGGCCCGTTAAACTTTGACAGAAAAAGTCTTTGGAAACAATTAAGTGTACCCATTGAAATGTGCTCGTATTTCAATAAAAAAAATAATACTTGTACTCCTGGAAATGAATTTGTACTAGTGGAGATGTACATGTACTTGTAGTTGCACTCTCACTAATGGAAAGAAATCGTTTGTACTTATACTCGTTCTCATTGTATAACTTGAAGGTACTCGTACTCACTACATAGTATTCAAACCTGACTCATATTAAGAGGTGTTTATCATTTGCATGTGTGTGTCCTTTCGGTGATTGCAGAGAACATTGTGCAAGGGTCCTCGAACTCTGGCTTTTGGATTGGATTGAACGATGACAGCACCGAAGGTACTTATGTCTGGATCGATGAAACTGCTACGGTTAGTTTACATCTATTTCTGTTTCAGACATCTTTAGTTATCCAGGTGTCCACCAGCTTCAGTTAAAAAAGAAAAGTATTGCTAGCTCCCAAGTCCCCCCCCAAAAAAAACCCCAACAACAACAATGGAAAATAGTATATTGTTGCCTGAAAAAAGTATTACCTGTTTTAAATCCACTGTGGCTGAACAAATTAGTATATTATTTTTAGTAACAGGTGCATATAATTATGCAAAATTAAAATAATAATAAATCACTCCCCCCCTCGAGTTTTCCTGAAAAAAAAACACAAGAGGAAAAAATATAAACAGGAAGACAGCTTAATTAAAACAATGGCATGGTTACTTAATCAAAGCAACATTTGTCTAAATGTGGGATAATTGTATTTATCATTTTCAACTTTGAAAATAATGAGTTTGTGGGACCTTTACTTGTGTTCTGATTCCAAGCCCTTTTGATGAGAAATGCAGTAAATGTGAAATCTTTATCATAACTGTTGACTGTTTTCTTGTTTTCAAGTAGAATGTGTTCTTCTGGAATACAAATAGATCTCCTGCGGAACCAGATGGAGGAGCAGGGCAAGATTGTGTGTTTATATATAAGGATGAATCAGGAGGGGAGATGACTAACAGAGACAATGCATGGGGTGATGACGGCTGCAACAAAAACCACAACTACATCTGTGGTGAACGTGAGTCAAGAGTTATGGATTCATTGTAATGAAAATCCCTGTTTCAATGAGTCCAATACATGATTCATTTGTGTCCTCGTCTATACATGCATTGCCGATGGATAAATAGCATAAAGATTTGAAAGTTTGTTGCCTGCAGAGTTTTGCAGTTCATATTTGGGTCATTCTTTAAATCAAGGGTCCAAAGTCTGACATTTTTTTCTGTCCCTGTTACCTTGGTATTTTGTAATTTGCAATTCAAGTAACGTTAAGAACAACTTCAAATCGTTTTATTTTTTGAATGGGTAGTTTGCTATTATATAACAGAAACAGGAAAAAAGTAAGACTCAAAATGTATACAGTTACCTTTTGTGTTTGTTCTGGATCACAACATTTTTTTGCAATGGTATTATTCATCTCACAGCGGCCTACGTGCTTGTGCCAGATGTGGAGAATCAATGTATTGATGCCACCCAAGCACCTGTTTCACTGAACTGGGCTGAGGTTACTGCCATAAACAAGACGACGGAAACAGTCAACGGTCCCATCACTTGTACGGCGGACTCGGGAGGTGGAACTAGCATCACCCTCACCGGAGGAGACTTTGGACTAGGGTCCCATACAATCAACTGCTCAGTTACGTTTTCCGATTCCAGTAGTGACTCGTCCAGTTTCACCTTCGCTGTAGCAGGTAAAACTTTTTCGCCAGTGTATTCATTGTATTACATGTAGCTTCAAATGACATTTATGGTTGAAATCTGTCAGGGGAAATGATGTACATTTAAAGAGGTTGTGGAATGCTCAAAGACATTTCCGTCATTTTTCGGGTATATGTAGCCTAAGGTGTGATGAAATAAAAACAACAATTGTTTCTGTCATAAAATGAGTACAAAAGGTACTTTTGAGAGATGTTTTTCAAGTCCTGTCATGCCTCTTTCGACCCGAACGTGAAATTTTTGTAAAAGTCGTTGTTGTGGGCAGCAAACAAAACACAGTAAATCATGACGTAATAAACAGGACTCCCGATGCAGAGTAGCATAAATGAGTCCTGTTTATTACGTCACGATTTACTGTGTTTTGTTTGCTGCCCGCAACGACGACTTTTACACAAATTGCACGTTCGGGTCGAAACAGGACCTGAAAAATAGCTCTCTAAAGTACCCTTTGTACTCATTTCACGACAGAAACAATAGTCGTTTTTATTTTATTACACCTTAGGCTACATATACCCAACAAATGACGGAAATGTCTTCGAGCATTCCACAACCTCTTTAAGGAGTTCTGTCCCGGGCCTCCTTCGAAGGACTGGCACTCTACAGTTGGTGCTGACAAACTTGCTGAAAGAAATTCAAAAGCCTGGACGGGTCAGCTCCAACCACGTGTTTTGATTTTTTACTTTTTTTTAACAGCTTCTCCATCTCTAACGGTACCGACGGTTAGCACCCAGACTCTTGGGACAGGCCAATCAACAGTCACAGTGGTTTGGGCCGAGGTAACCGCCACAAATTCTGACGCTCAGCCCATCACGTGCTCAGACTCTGGCGATGGTACCGGTCTGAGTGTGACCGGGGGTGACTTTGGTCTTGGATCCCACACAGTCACCTGCAACGTGACTAACTCGGATGGTTGCACGGCAGCAGAGAGCTTCACATTTGAGGTTACAGGTACAGTTTATGCGCTTCTGAATCAGGAGTTCTTCTGCCCTAACTCAGCCTTGCCTCCAAGAGCCTTGGTGTGAGGATCATTTAAAATGGTCCATTTCCTCTTTTCCCAAGAAAAAGAAATCGTGAAATATACATGTCATCTGGGCAGCTTCAAAAATGAAACTTTAATTACATAAGAAAAAGTGAACTTTTGGAAGGAAATATGAGTGAGTTGGAATTCCGATACATCTAGTATCTCCATACATTTAAGGCCCCATGAAATGAGATAAATCTTGATATGTTGGGCTGCATCATTATTCCTGAAATAAATTTGGTTACTTGGCCCATCAGATACTGGAAATTTGAGGATCTCCATTTTGCACTGTAATATGCATTGGGCATATCTTGCACCAAGCGTGTCTGCATAGATCAACACATCAACCTTGTCTTTATACAGATAGCATTTGCTGTCATGGTAGAAGCAACTAGCCAGTCATCAAGAAATATGTAATTAATGCTGGTCCAAAATGCATGAACGATATAACAGTAATGGGTGTGTTTTTCTTAACTAGAATCAACACCGACTACTGCTGAACCTTCAACAATGCAACCAACCACAGTCGGGCCAACTACGCAAGCCAATCAACCAACCACAGACGGGCCAACTACGCAAGCCAATCAACCAACCACAGAAGGACCGACTACGCAAGCCAATCAACCAACCACAGACGGGCCAACTACGCAAGCCAATCAACCAACCACAGACGGACCAACTACACAAGCCAATCAACCAACCACAGAGGGGCCAACTACGCAAGCCAATCAACCAACCACAGACGGGCCAACTACGCAAGCCAATCAACCAACCACAGACGGGCCAACTACGCAAGCCAATCAACCAACCACAGACGGACCAACTACACAAGCCAATCAACCAACCACAGACGGGCCAACTACGCAAGCCAATCAACCAACCACAGACGGACCAACTACACAAGCCAATCAACCAACCACAGAAGGACCAACTACGCAAGCCAATCAACCAACCACAGAGGGACCAACTACGCAAGCCAATCAACCAACCACAGATGGCCCAACTACGCAAGCCAATCAACCAACCACAGTCGGGCCAACTACGCAAGCCAATCAAGCAACCACAGAAGGACCAACTATGCAAGCCAATCAACCAACCACTGACGGGCCAACTACGCAAGACAATCAACCAACCACAGAAGGACCAACTACGCAAGCCAATCAACCAACCACAGACGGGCCAACTACGCAAGCCAATCAACCAACCACAGAAGGACAGACTACACAAGCCAATCAACCAACCACAGAGGGGCCAACTACACAAGCCAATCAACCAACCACAGAAGGACCGACTACGCAAGCCAATCAACCAACCACAGAGGGGCTAACTACGCAAGGCAATCAACCAACCACAGAGGGGCCAACTACACAAGCCAATCAACCAACCACAGAAGGACTGACTACGCAAGCCAATCAACCAACCACAGAGGGGCTAACTACGCAAGGCAATCAACCAACCACAGAGGGGCCAACTACACAAGCCAATCAACCAACCACAGAGGGACCAACTACACAAGCCAATCAACCAACCACAGAGGGGCCAACTACACAAGCCAATCAACCAACCACAGAGGGGCCAACTACACAAGCCAATCAACCAACCACAGACGGGCCAACTACACAAGCCAATCAACCAACCACAGACGGGCAAACTACGCAAGCCAATCAACCAACCACAGACGGGCCAACTACGCAAGCCAATCAACCAACCACAGAGGGGCCAACTACGCAAGCCAATCAACCAACCACAGAAGGACCGACTACACAAGCCAATCAACCAACCACAGAGGGACCAACTACACAAGCCAATCAACCAACCACAGACGGGCCAACTACGCAAGCCAATCAACCAACCACAGAGGGACCAACTACGCAAGCCAATCAACCAACCACAGAGGGACCAACTACGCAAGCCAATCAACCAACCACAGAGGGACCAACTACGCAAGCCAATCAGCCAACCACAGAGGGACCAACTACACAAGCCAATCAACCAACCACAGACGGGCCAACTACGCAAGGCAATCAACCAACCACAGAAGGACAAACTACACAAGCCAATCAACCAACCACAGAAGGACCAACTACGCAAGACAATCAACCAACCACAGAAGGACCAACTACGCAAGCCAATCAACCAACCACAGAGGGGCCAACTACACAAGCCAATCAACCAACCACAGAAGGACCAACTACGCAAGACAATCAACCAACCACAGAGGGGCCAACTACACAAGCCAATCAACCAACCACAGACGGGCCAACTACGCAAGGCAATCAACCAACCACAGAAGGACAAACTACACAAGCCAATCAACCAACCACAGAGGGACCAACTACACAAGCCAATCAACCAACCACAGACGGGCCAACTACGCAAGGCAATCAACCAACCACAGAAGGACAAACTACACAAGCCAATCAACCAACCACAGATCTAGAGGGACCAACTACACAAGGACCAGTGTCAGCCACAACAATGCAGTCTTCAACACCAGGTAAACGATTATTTTGTGCATTTACCCGGTACTCATCAACCACTTACTTGGTTGGCAATCATTGACAACTTGACCACAGAACACATCTTAGTTTTCCTGTGACTTTTCTCTTTTTCATAATGGTTTGCATTCTAATTTTTCATTGAAGTAGCTTAATCCAGCATATTTCTTACATGTAGATGAAGATACTTGTTATTCCAATCCTTGTATGAATGGGGGTAGTAGCACAGATGGTTTCACGACTGATTTTTTTGCATATTTTGAGAGTAATACACAATAGTACTTTGCAAAAGTTAAGGCAATTGCCTTTGAATTTTCTACAAACACCATGTGACATGATTTAATGCTTAGTGCTAACATCACTTTGAAATTGCCGTTGATTGATTTTCAGGTCTGAGATCCGTCAACATTGTACTGAGTATTGTAGGAGTAAATAACACCGCTCTCAACTCCTCAGACTTCACCGATCCTAACTCTGCAGCTTCTATGGAGTTGGCAGAACTGGTGGCCAGAGTGGTAAGTCACGTCAAAGTTTGGTTTTGGTAACACAAGTTAAAGATAAAATGTCAAGTCGTAAATGCAAAATCCTCAACAGAATGCGGTTGACAGACTTGCTGGAAAGTTAAGTAAGACATCAACTTCATATTAACAAACTTTTGATACCTAGTTTCTTTCCTTTCCAGATTGCAAGTGTACTTGGAGAGAATGCGACAACAAGCGATATTGAATCGGTCAGTGGTGCGATTTCCATTGGACCAGATGGTGTAGTTTTCACAGGTGATGTATTCGTCCCAGTGGATTCGCCTGTAACTGCTGACACCATCATGGAAGTCTTATCCAATCAAGCTGCTGCAGCACCCTTAACTGATGGACAGAGTACTCTGGATGTGGACCCTGCAGTTACTGCTATGGGTAAGTAACAGTCTTGCCTTGTACAATGTAGGTTCACATTCCTACTGCTCTTATAGATCCATTGATTTATGTTTGCAACATTTTGTACTTTTCTTATTCATAACGGCTTTCCTTCTAATTTCTTTCTGGTTCTTGGGTTCTTCTCAAAGCTACACTCAAAAAAATAATATATGTTGTCACTGACATCAATGATGTTTATATCCACATTTGAATCTTTAGATGAAGATAATTGTGATCCCAACCCTTGTATGAATGGAGGTAGTTGCGCGGATGGCATCAATAGCTACGTCTGTACTTGTGTAGAAGGATTTACAGAAAATGACTGTGAAACTGGTACGTTTACAAAACTGTTTTGCCGTGAAAGTTGTCAAAACATTTTGTGCCTTAAAAAAAAAAACACTTCCAGATAGTAATTCAAAGGTCAAGCCCTTACACAACTGTTGCATTGTGCTTGACCGATTTGAGATAGTATTTACACAATAGCAGATTGTGAAATATTAGCAATAGCTCACGCAACAGTTCATCCCACTTTTCTACAGACATCACGTGACAAAGTTAAACGCTGATGCAGTTTCACATTGCTGTTTGATTCTTTTTCAGGTCTGAGATCAGTCAACATTGTACTGAATATTGTAGGAGTAAATGGCACCAATCTAAACACCTCAGACTTGACAGATCCTAACTCTGCAGCTTCGATGGAGTTGGCAGAACTGGTGGCCAGAGTGGTAAGTCATTTCATCATTTGCTTTTTGGGAATGTTGGTTAAAGATGAGACGGCAAGTCTACTAGCTTCATCCTTACTGATGTGGATAGACATCGACTTCAAATTGATGTGTTGACACAAGTTTCTTCTTTTCCAGATTGCAAGCGTACTTGGAGAGAATGCGACAACAAGCGACGTTGAATCTGTTATTGGTGGGATATCCATTGGACCAGATGGTGTAGTTTTCACAGGTGATGTATTCGTCCCAGTGGATTCACCTGTAACTGCTGAAACCATCATGGAAGTCTTATCCAATCAAGCTGCTGCAGCACCCTTAACTGATGGACAGAGTACTCTGCATGTGGACCCTGCAGTTACCGCTATGGGTAAGTTACAGTCTTGCGTTGTAGGTTCACATTCGTGCTACTCTTGGATCTGTTGATTTGTGTTTGCATTATTTGTACTTTTCTTATTCATAATGACTATCCTTCTAATTTCTTTCTGTTCGTGGGTTCTTCTTCAAGCTGCACAGAGAAAGTTTCTTTGTGCTGTCAGTGACATCAAAGATGTTTCTATCCACATTTGAATCTTTAGATGAAGATAATTGTGATCCCAACCCTTGTATGAATGGAGGTAGTTGCACGGATGGTGTCAATAGCTACGTCTGTACTTGTGTAGAGGGATTCACTGGAAATGACTGTGAAATAGGTAAATATATTCTTTTCCAAGTTATTTGGTACGTGGTGTGTCCAGCGAGAAATTTCACTTAGTAGAGAGACACAGTTTTGAAAGACGCAAAATGATGGCTATTAAAGCATTTTTCAGAAAGTGTAAATACACAACAATTGTGCACATTTGTTGTGGTATTCCTCTGTGTTCAATCTTCAGAAGCACCAGGACTTAACAGTTGGTATCCTTTGCAGGACCTTCAAAAAACTTCGCTGCTCGGCATCCGTTCCTTTTTCATGCCTGTTTTGATTGATTTTTCAGGTCTGAGATCAGTAACCATTGTCCTGAATGTCAGAGGAGTAAATGGCACCGCCCTCATCTCCTCAGACTTCACCGATCCCAACTCTGCAGCTTCAATGGAGTTGGCGGAACTGGTGGCCAGAGTGGTAAGTCATTTCAGCATTTCCTTTTCTGGAACGCGTAGATTACAGATGAAATGCCAAGACTTAAATGCTTGTACCTCATGCTAGCTTTATCTGCACTGATGAGGATAGACATCTTCTTCAAATTGATGGGTTGACACAAGTTTCTTCTTTTTCAGATTGCAAGTGTACTTGGAGAGAATGCCACAACTAGTGACGTTGAATCTGTTATTGGTGGGATATCTGTTGGACCAGATGGTGTAGTTTTCACAGGTGATGTATTCGTCCCAGTGGATTCGCCTGTAACTGCTGAAACCATCATGGAAGTCTTATCCAATCAAGCTGCTGCAGCACCCTTAACTGATGGACAGAGTACTCTGGATGTGGACCCTGCAGTCACTGCTATGGGTAAGTTACAGTCTTGCGTTGTAGGTTCACATTCATGCTGCTCTTGGATCTATTGATTTGTATTTGCATTATTTGTACTTTTCTTATTCATAACGACTATCCTCCTAATTTCTTTCTGTTCCTCGGTTCTTCTCAAAGCTACACTGAAAAAAGTTCATTGGTTTTGTCTCTAACATCAAAGGTGTTTCTGTCCACATTTGAATCTTTAGATGAAGATAATTGTGATCCCAATCCTTGTATGAACGGAGGTAGTTGCACGGATGGTGTCAACAGCTACATCTGCACTTGTGCAGAGGGATTCACTGGAAATGACTGTGAAATAGGTAAATATATTCTTTTCCAAGTTATTTAGTACGTGGTGTGTCCAGCGAGAAATTTCATTAAATAGAGAGACACAGTTTTGAAAAACTCATGCAAAATGATGGCTATTATATAATAGCATCTTTCAGAAAGTGTAAATACATAACAATTGTGCACATTTGTTGAGGCATTCCTCTGTGTTCAATCTTCAGAAGCACCAGGACTTAACAGTTGGTATCCAATGCAGGACCTTCTCAAACTTTGCTGCTCTTGCAACCGTTCCTTTTTCATGCCTGTTTTGATTGGTTTCCAGGTCTGAGATCAGTCACCATTGTCCTGAATGTCAGAGGAGTAAATGGCACCGCCCTCATCTCCTCAGACTTCACCGATCCCAACTCTGCAGCTTCGATGGAGTTGGCGGAACTGGTGGCAAGAGTGGTAAGTCATTTCACCTTTTACTTTTCCGGAACGCGTAGATTACAGATGAAATGCCAAAACTTAAATACTAGTACCTCAACCTAGCGTTATCCTCACTGATGAGGATAGACATCTACTTCAAATTGATGTGTTGACACAAGTTTCTTCTTTTCCAGATTGCAAGTGTACTTGGAGAGAATGCCACAACTAGCGACGTTGAATCTGTTATTGGGGGGATATCTGTTGGACCAGATGGTGTAGTTTTTACAGGTGATGTATTCGTCCCAGTGGATTCGCCTGTAACTGCTGACACCATCATGGAAGTCTTATCCAATCAAGCTGCTGCAGCACCCTTAACTGATGGACAGAGTACTCTGGATGTGGACCCTGCAGTCACTGCTATGGGTAAGTTACAGTCTTGCGTTGTAGGTTCACATTCGTGCTACTCTTAGATCTGTTGATTTGTGTTTGCATTATTTGTACTTTCCTTAGGCCTAAAAAAAAAAAAGTGTTATGTTGGCGTAACCCGACCGACCCTAAAGATGCGGCCGACCCTGGATATTTTTTTTTTTTTTGAAGGGAAGAAATATAATTAAAATCTATAGAAATGAATTTTAAATACGTTTTGAAACCATTTCTGACCGTTTCTCCTCAATTGTATGACGATAGCGCGCGTGGAACTTTGGAGTGCACAATGTTTTGCACCTTCCTCTCCATGACACAACGAATATGCAGAAGATCGTGCAGGCCTACAGGCAGTGCGCGTGCGGAGATGGCACCAATGCACGATGCATGCATGATAGATGCACATGTACGTACATGCACAGTACATGTATAGCCTCGTCCTAGACTGATGCTTGGTGCGAACTGCTACATACACTATTGAAAATACTTCGCTATTTATTCTATGTTAAAAAAAATAGTTCAATATAATATAAATTATTTTAATTAATTTTCCACTATTTTACACGATAACAATTGATATATATTTATTCTAAAAATGGTAAACTATTCTGTAACCCCGGCGGCCGACACGACCCGGCCGGCCCCCGGCCCGTGGTTACGCGCGTACGCCGTCGCATCATGGCGCCCGGTACCGAAGCGTACAGTGTTTCCATCAAGGGCAAATGGGGATCTTCAGTCATTTTCGACCGTTTAATCCGGATAAATTTGAGTCTAGAGCTGGGGGTAATCGCCCAGAGCTGTGCCGATGGTGTACAAGCGGGTTACACCGTGCTAAAAATACAAACTTCAAAGGAAGAATCGGGTCCATATAAAGATGTCGACGCAGATGAAACGGCTAACATTTTGTCTGATTTTGGATTCCGCTTTTTGATATGTACCTTTGGAAAGGTTGATGATGAGTTTAAAAGTATACAAATATTGTGTGTAGCCTTGTTTTCTTTTGTTATCGTGTACTACTGCCGGCTTAATGTCATTTTCGTTGCTGGGATTAAAAAAACAACAACAAACATACAAACAAACAAACCGACCTTCCTACCCTATTTTTTCTGTCCCGTTACGCCAACATAACTTCTTTTTTTTTTTAGGCCTTATTCATAACGACTATCCTTCTAATTTCTTTCTGTTCGTGGGTTCTTCTCAAAGCTACACTGAGAAAGTTCATTGGTTTTGTCTCTAACATCAAAGATGTTTCTATCCACATTTGAATCTTTAGATGAAGATAATTGTGATCCCAATCCTTGTATGAATGGAGGTAGTTGCGCGGATGGTGTCAATAGCTACGTCTGTACTTGTGTAGAGGGATTCACTGGAAGCGACTGCGAAATAGGTAAATATATTCTTTTCCAAGTTATTTGGTACGTGGTGTGTCCAGCGAGAAATTTCACTTAGTAGAGAGACACAGTTTTGAAAGACGCAAAATGATGGCTATTAAAGCATTTTTCAGAAAGTGTCAATACACAACAATTGTGCACATTTGTTGAGGCATTCCTCTGTGTTCAATCTTCAGACGCACCAGAACATAACAGTTGGTAGCCTTTGCAGGACCTCAAACTTTGCTGCTCGTGCAACCGTTCCTTTTTCATGCCTGTTTTGATTGGTTTTCAGGTCTGAGATCAGTAACCATTGTCCTGAATGTCAGAGGAGTAAATGGCACCGCTCTCAACTCCTCAGACTTCACCGATCCCAACTCTGCAGCTTCAATGGAGTTGGCGGAACTGGTGGCCAGAGTGGTAAGTCATTTCACCTTTTGCTTTTCCGGAACGCGTAGATTACAGATGAAATGCCAAGACTTCAATGCTAGTACCTCAAGCTAGCGTTACCCGCACTGATGAGGATAGACATCTACTTCAAATTGATCTGTTGACACAAGTTTCTTCTTTTCCAGATTGCAAGTGTACTTGGAGAGAATACCACAACTAGCGACGTTGAATCTGTTATTGGTGGGATATCTGTTGGACCAGATGGTGTAGTTTTCACAGGTGATGTATTCGTCCCAGTGGATTCACCTGTAACTGCTGAAACCATCATGGAAGTCTTATCCAATCAAGCTGCTGCAGCACCCTTAACTGATGGACAGAGTACTCTGAATGTGGACCCTGCAGTCACTGCTATGGGTAAGTTACAGTCTTGCGTTGTAGGTTCACATTCGTGCTACTCTTGGATCTGCTGATTTGTGTTTGCATTGTTTGTACTTTTCTTATTCATAATGACTATCCTTCTAATTTCTTTCCATTCGTGGGTTCTTCTCAAAGCTACTCTGAGAAAGTTTATTTGTTTTGTCTCTAACATCAAAGGTGTTTCTGTCCACATTTGAATCTTTAGATGAAGATAATTGTGATCCCAACCCTTGCATGAACGGAGGTAGTTGCGCGGATGGTGTCAATAGCTACGTCTGTACTTGTGTAGAGGGATTCACTGGAAACGACTGTGAAATAGGTAAATATATTCTTTTCCAAGTTATTTAGTACGTGGTGTGTCCAGCGAGAAATTTCACTAAGTAGAGAGACACAGTTTTGAAAAACTCATGCAAAATGATGGCTATTATATAATAGCATTTTTCAGAAAGTGTAAATACAGAACAATTGTGCACATTTGTTGAGGCATTCCTCTGTGTTCAATCTTCAGAAGCACCAGGACTTAACAGTTGGTAGCCTTTGCAGGACCTCAAACTTCGCTGCTCATGCACCTGTTCCTTTTTAATGCCTGTTTTGATTGGTTTTCAGGTCTGAGATCAGTCACCATTGTCCTGAATGTCAAAGGAGTAAATGGCACTGCCCTGGTCTCCTCAGACTTCACCGATCCTAACTCTGCAGCTTCGATGGAGTTGGCGGAACTGGTGGCCAGAGTGGTAAGTCATTTCACCTTTTGCTTTTCTGGAACGCGTAGTTTACAGATGAAATGCCAAGACTTAAATGCTAGTACCACATTACTAGCTTTATCCTCACTGATGAGGATAGATGTCTACTTCAAATTGATGTGTTGACACAAGTTTCTTCTTTTCCAGATTGCAAGTGTACTTGGAGAGAATGCCACGACTAGCGACGTTGAATCGGTCAGTGGTGCGATTTCCATTGGACCAGATGGTGTAGTTTTCACAGGTGATGTATTCGTCCCAGTGGATTCGCCTGTAACTGCTGAAACCATCATGGAAGTCTTATCCAATCAAGCTGCTGCAGCACCCTTAACTGATGGACAGAGTACTCTGGATGTGGACCCTGCAGTTACTGCAAGGGGTAAGTTGATTCACTTTGCTCATAGTTTTTGCTTTGTTCCTTTTCCTCAATTTTTCACTCTCAGTTATGGCTGTTGTTCTTATTTCTTGATCTCATTTTAGCTTCAATCAAAAATTTCTGCTGTCATATGCGTATTTTTGTCCATAATTGATTCATTAGATGAAGATAACTGTGATCCCAACCCTTGTATGAATGGAGGTAGTTGCACGGATGGTGTCAATAGCTACGTCTGCGCTTGTGTAGAGGGGTTCACCGGACACGACTGTGAAATTGGTCAGTATAAAATAGTGTGTGTTTGCCAATCGGATTCCTGTGGAAATAGCCAAGGTATTCTGTGTCTAGCATGATGAGCACTCTGGCAAGTTTGTTGAAGTCCATCCTCATTAAAAGTTGCCAATAAGACGCAACATGAATTAGACAGTATGACCACAAAACCATTTGGCACCTGAGGTATTTATCAGTGCTCACTCTACAGTTGTAAGTAAATCACTAGAATTCTACAGCGAGGCGTCAATGAACAGGATCTTCTTCATACTGCGTTTTTACACATTGATTTCATTTTGATCCTTGCTTTTCAGGTGTGAGATCTGTTACAGTTGTACTGAACGTCAGAGGAGTAAACGGCTCTGCTCTGGACCCTGCAGACTACACGGATCCTAACTCTGCAGCGTCCAGGGAGTTGGCCGACCTGGTGGCAAGAGTGGTAAGCCATACGCCGACTTTGATTGCATCCTGGATGAAATGCAAGGATAAACCTCAAAAGAGGGGGCTCATCAATGGCATGTCCGTAATTTTCATGTGGTGGCAGACTTCCTGACTTATAAAAAGTCACCGGCTTGATTTTGAAATGTTGACACAGGTTTCATCTCGTTCTTTTCCAGATTGCAAGTGTACTTGGAGAGAACGCAACAACCAGTGACGTTGAATCTGTTATTGGAAAAATTGCTTTTCTGGAACGCGTAGATTACAGATGAAATGGCAAGACTTAAACGCTAGTACCACATTACTAGCGTTATCCTCACTGATGAGGATAGACATCTTCTTCAAATTGATGTATTGACACAAGTTTCTTCTTTTTCAGATTGCAAGTGTACTTGGAGAGAATGCCACAACTAGCGATGTTGAATCTGTTATTGGTGGGATATCTGTTGGACCAGATGGTGTAGTTTTCACAGGTGATGTTTTCGTCCCAGTGGATTCGCCTGTAACTGCTGAAACCATCATGGAAGTCTTATCCAGTCAAGCTGCTGCAGCACCCTTAACTGATGGACAGAGTTCACTGGATGTGGACCCTGCAGTTACTGCAAGGGGTAAGTTGCCTCACCTAGTTCACAACTTTTGACTATTTCCTTTTCAATAGTTTTAATTGTGGCTGTCCTATGAATTTCTTGATCGAAGCTGAGCTACAATCAAAATTTGCACATCTGACGTCATTGAGAATAACTTATTTTTCTATTCCAATCGGTTTGATTGTATGATATGCAGATAACTGTGATCCCAACCCATGTATGAATGGAGGATCTTGTCAAGATGGCACTAATAGCTATGTTTGCACTTGTGTGGAGGGATTCACAGGAAACGAGTGTGAAATAGGTCAGTATAAAAAAGTATTTTTGTCGATTTTGACTTCCTGCCAAAAACAGAAGCCACTGTGTCCTGTGTCTAGGAGGCAGAGCCACACAGCAGTTTGTTGAAGCCCATCCTCGTATACATTGACATTAATTAAACTTCATCAAGTTCAGACGGTATTACATGTAGTCCCACTAACTGGGGCGCTAGAACTCCTTTTTTTGACATTTGGGATGTTTGTCTGTCGTACTAGCGTCCCACTAAAGAAGTATTCTCAATGTGAGCTCAGGTAGACCAGCTGTAGATTAAGCTGAGCTATTACGCCAAGCTGTGAATCACGCCAACCGTGCCTTTGGAACTGGAATTGCGTTCTAAATTCAAGACTTGAAATACATAAAACCACACACTCCTCTTCCTAATGGCAACAAAAATGGACGAACAGGTTGAATGTTTTGATCATTGTCTGTGTTGGATTCAAAGCTAAATTGTCTGATTATCCGCCTGTGACCATGTTTAATTTGTAGATATTGATGATTGTGATCCCGACCCTTGCATGAATGGGGGAGCCTGTCACGACGGCGTGAACAGCTACACCTGTACTTGTGTAGAAGGTTTCACAGGAAGCGACTGTGAGACAGGTCAGTTGGTAGTATTTCTTGTGACTGCTGTTGTTTTGTTTTAACTGAAGTGAATCAAAGAGGAATTCTTACCTTTCATGTTGACAGTGCTATGCAGGTACTGCTTAGTAGACCATCAGATGGTTGGTTGTCGTGGACTTAAATATCATCCATGCATTACTCCATTACTCATTTGAAGTTGATCCTGTGCGAAACTATTGGCACCCTTCTGTAAAAAAAATAACAATTGCTAGTTTCAGGGATTTAACCGCTCTTGTCAACTTTTAAATTGGACATCCAACAAAAACATCTGATGAAAAAAAACTATACCTACAGGTACCTTTAACCCTCGGTGTGGCCACGTGGTGATAAAATTCTCCACATTTTCCAAATATGGTCATAACTTTTTTTTCAATGGGCCAATGAGGCCAAGATTCCATGTAATCCTCACCCCTGGTATACACCAGAAGCCTGTAGACTCCCATTGGCCAGACCCTAACCACTGCAGAGTAAGGAGTGTTGAAAGACAGCAGCCCCAAGCGGCGCCTAATGCCTTTGTGCAGTAATTGGAGATCTCAGTGGCCAACCCCTTTGTGCTGCCGATCTCTCTGTGTCAATCCCTCGATCTCTCTGTGTCAATCCCTCGTGCCGCCCAGAGCTCAGACAGGTCGTAAACAATCCTGGCCCACACAAAGGCCATGTGACCTGCCTATATCTTGTGCATGAGAGGGGATTATTGACCTAGAAACAGTGTGGTGATAAAATTCTCCATGTGGTTTCACGGTGTGATTTTTTTGGTCACTCGACTCCTAGGGTTAATTGCCAAGCCAACTTCTACTTTCTCACACGCACTTGTAAAGCACTGAGCACACAGTGCTTCTAACAATTCATTGGGGAAATGCACAGCATGCTGACAGGATTTTCTTTCTACCTCACAGACATCGACGATTGTAATCCCAACCCTTGCTTGAGCGGGGAAACCTGTGAAGACGGCATCAATCGTTTCACCTGCACCTGTATTCAAAGAAATTGCCAGACAGGTGAGAATTAGCAATTGTGATTTAAGCCTTTGCTCGGCCCAGAAGGGACCTAGCCTGTCTTATCACCCGTTATCCACAGAGCCCAGTTCCCCTGTATAATGTTGCAATTAAAACGAAGTGGAAAACAGTGAAGTTTCATTGTCCTTTTTTTTCCTAAATTATCTTGACAGATCCTTGTGTATTGAATCCTGGCCTCTGTGCAGCGACACCTGGCCAGTACTGCCTGCCAGTCCCCTTCAGTGAACTCCCTGCTAGGTACAGGTGTGCCTGTCGGGAACTCGATGGATATTTCTGGGACAGTTCTGCAAACCGCTGCACCCAAAACGGTCAGTGACAGTAGCATTATTACAGCTTATGTATGTTTACGAGCGGTCCGCGCATTCTATTGGTCAACATCCCAGAAGATCTGTGGATTTATGGACTGTAGATCTCTAGATTGATAATAATAATAACAGGCATTTATATAACTTGTTTAAACGGGGTATCAAAGCGCGTTACAATTATTATTACCCCTTGTACAAGGGGTTAACACCCCTGAAACCTTCTCAACTCCCTGGGGAGGATACACGGCCGGTAGGCAACCATTTTGGTGCTCTTGGCCGTAATCAACCTCTCACAGTAACCAACTCTGCCCTCACAGGGGCTATCCTGGGTGGAGAGAAGCAATGAATAACAAAGCGCCTTGCTCAAGGGAACACCCACCATAGCCCCGGGCAGCACTCGAACCCACAACCTGCAGAAGACTGGTTGTGTCATTCTGATTAACAATTTCATAATAATTTTTTTTTTTCTAGGATTCCGAGCAGTCACGATAGAAATGAATGTCGAAGGGATCAACGGTACTGCATTAGGTTTAGGCGACATAAGTACACCTGGGTTGTTGGCAGTGGTGGCTAAAGTGGTAAGTTAATTGCGTATTAAAGGGAATATACAACATTTGCAAGCATCGAAAAATAAAACTACCAAGTTTTTACGAAATACTTTACTAGGATGTTGGTAAATGACAGTCTAAAGCATCCTGTAAAATTATGGCACCTGGTGTGAAGTCATTTTCAAGAAAATGGTATTTTTGTATACAATTCCAACGGTGGTCGGCCGACCACCGTTGGAAAAACCCAACTATTTTTCAACTACTGATCCAAATTTACCATTTTTTCAGTCCAAATTTTGTTTGCTATTGGTTACATGTTCATGAACGGGCGCAGGCCAGCTAGACTGGTTCCCTCACCTTACAATTTTCTGGCATCTATAAATATTGGTCTATTTCATCTTTAGGGGGGCCAGGGAACCAGACTGCTTGAACATTTTTGTTTTTCTTGGTTTTTCCAGCATTTTCGAACACAAAACTTCAAACATGTCAGTGTAACAATATTTGATCTATATACTAACTCCTCAAATAGTTCATTTCTGAAAATTATAGCAAAGCCAATGATGTACATTCCCTTTAAGCCCTTCCACACCTTCCCGATTTTACCAGTTTTTTTTACCGTTGCAGTTAAGGTTACCGCACACATGCCTGATTCCTCCTAAAATCTGTCACATGATGACCAGTCACATGACGACAACCATGTGACTTCCTTTGTGAGTCTGATTGGAAAAAATTGCATCCAGTGAAATCCGATGCAAAAAACCTCAAGCATCAGTGTTTGGTTTTATCCGGCCGCCCTGTAAACGGTCGGATGCAGCTATCCAAAAAGTTACTTGACGAAATTATAGTTGAATACCATACTCAGTTTAAAGATGGTAATGGGACTAAACTCCCTGTGAAATTATTCTTTCGGGCAAGCTGTCATTCTGAAGAAAACAATGAAGAAGGCCATTCCAAGTATGCGTCTAAAGACGCATCGTTGGAAATTTCCATTAGTAGTTAGTTTTTAATTCTAAGAAGCGCGTTGCTATAATTCGTCAGTTCAGTGCGCAACATTGCGTAGCTGCAATAACCTGAATGAAAACGCTGAATTCGGGCGGAATTCAAAACATGACCTAGTAACTTTTGATTTGAAATCGAGATCCTAGAATATTGTTTTCCTCGGAATAAACAGCATTCTCTGAGCTAAAACTGCATCAAGTTAGTTTTAAGCTCCCTTCTTTAGATTTTGAGTACTTTTGTTGCCTCAAACGAACACAATGCACAAATTACAAATCAGTGAAGGACTGTACCTTTAACAATCCTTGAACACTTTTCAGTAGGATACTTTTACCCCGTGGTATTTTGTTGGTATATAAATCTGGTCCTGTACTTCTTGTGTTTTTTTTTTAAAGATTCAATCTGAGCTGGGACTTATGCCAGCAACAAGCGACATAAACCAAGTCCATCCAGTCCAGTTGGTTGTAAGAGACGGCAGAGTGATGTTCATGGGCGTCGTCCAGGTCCCAGCAGAGTCGACCATCACCGCACGAGTCATCGAGTCGATGTTGTCGACACTGTCATCATCGAGAGCACTAACAGACGGACAGACCACACTGAATGTGGACCCTCAAGTTACTGCTATGGGTGAGTCGGGGTTGTGTTGGCTCAATGAAATCAATGTTCCAGAGGCTTTTTTTTGCACCAGTGTAAAATAACAGTTGTTTGAGGTGATACGGGTACAGTGTTTCAGGTATTGATATATCATCCCTATCTAAGTACATGCTAAGTTCAACCCAATAAGACTTGTATTTCGGTAGATACGACTTAAAGATATAGTCCATCATTTGTAATTTGTGCATTTTGTTCGTTTGAAGCAACAAAAGTGTTCAAAATCTAATGAAGGATACTGAACAACTAACCTGATGAAGTTTCAGCTCAGCTTCAGCTGTATATTCCGAGAAAAACAGCATTCTAGGATCTCAATTTCAAATCAAAAGTTGCTGAATCATGTTTTGAATTGGGCCTGAATTCAGCGTCCGAGACGCGTTCTCACTGAGCCGATTGCAGCTATACACGATGTCACGCACTGATCCGACGAATTATAGCAACCGCGTGTGCGTCGTGCCAATGCTTGCGCGCGCTTCGCCGAATAACAAAACGAACTGCTAATTTAAATTTTCCTACGGTGCGTCTTAAGACGCACCGTTGAAAAGGCTTCTTTCGTTGATTACTTCAAAATGACATCTTGCCAGAAAGAATAATTTCACAGGGAGTTTAGTCCCCTTACTATCTTTCAACCAAGTATGTTTTTCAACAATAATTACGCCAGTTACTTTTCGGATGGCTGCAAATGATGGACTATAGCTTTAAAAAATGCACATCAAGACGTCAAAGTGCTGTGATCTGCATGGCTTTTTTTTCAACGAACAAACCATTTTTAAGGTGGAACAACATTCACGTGCGTGTCCCAAACGTTCTTATTGACAAGACACGCGCGCCTTTTGGTAACGCTTAGGTTCAAGGGGTCGAGAGTGTGCTCGTACTACTGGAGTGCGACCCGGGCGTGCCTGGCGTGGCCGCCAGGTAACTCGGAAAATGACTGCTGCCGAATTAGTGTATACAACTCCGAAAAGACAGGCTAGCACTTGAGACGCAGTGTTGTTTCACTTTCTTCCTTTACTCTCTTGTGTACCGCAGTCTCCACAACTGCTTGCCCGCCCAACTTCTGTCAGAACGGAGGGACGTGTGATGTGTCTGGCAATTATCCAGCCTTTGATTATACATGCAGGTAAGAAGTCCAGCAATGGAGTACCGAAGTGAATGCGTCACGCGCACAAAATGTGTGTGAAAGACATCAGCGCGTGATTCAGCCCGTGAACCAACGTGCGCGCGTACTCCATTCGTTTGTACTACACTTTCTGGTTCTAAACGACGTCACACTTCGGTACTCCATTGGAGATGAACGAAAGCACACTGTACAATCCGAGCTGCTGCTTGGTATTCTCGTCATAAAACAGCATCAATTAAGTTACATGTTGTATTAGTTGCCTGGCTGTTTTAGACCTTTGTTTAATCTAGCATTGTTTCTTAAAAAGAGCGTAACATTCACAGCAGCAGAGATGTGCCTGGTTTATGCCGACATGTAACCCAGGCAGTCATACCTTGCATATGAAGGTCATCATGGGGTACTTCTAGCTAGTCCTTGTTAGACTGTACCATACAGAAGAAAGTCTTAAGAAGAGGGGCAACAGGACTATAGAAGTACCTCACTAATTTGACATAATGCGAATGTATGTGGCTGTTACTGTTTAATGTTTTTTTGCCGTGACAGGCACATAACTGGGCCTCATGTTTGTTTATCTCAACATTTTTTTTATCTCAAATGAGTGATCAGACAAACCTTACACATGTTTTTGCCGTCCAATTTCAGATGTGCCACTGCATTCACAGGCTCCAACTGCGAGTCAGTTATTCCTGTACCTACGGAGAAACCAGTTACTTTTGCCCCAACCATGGCGCCAGGTACATGTTTGTTTATATAGACACTTTGCTTCAGAGTTGTAGATGAATCGCATTGTGGAAATCTTTGTGATCACATTTGAAATGTTTGCGCTCTAGTTGGTGTATGCATATGGTAAAGGGTCTTTGTATATCTAAAGCATAGCAATTGGACACATGAACTAATTGTGAACACGTAAAATCTTGTCAAATTGAAACTGCATGAAGGTTTCTCTGCAGAAAATGTAAACTTTTCACACTGCAAATATGCAGTTGTATTTTAAGCATACAGATTACAGAGCCACTTGGTGACAAAACTTTGTCGTGTCTGTGCAACAAGGTCATATCTCCTAAAATGGGCCGTACGTGAAACGCAAGTTTCAGAGTGTCAAAGGTCGTAGATTACTTAAATAACCCGGATGTGCACAAAGTCAATGCACGTCGAGATACAACCTTGTTGCACGGTGCGTATTCGCGCGAGTTACGACTTTGTTGCAGAATTAAGTTGCGACCTTGTCGCACTGACGCGACGAATTGAACTTAATATGAGAAAAACACACATTTGGTAGTTTCATTGAAAAAGCTTCGTACGTGGAAGCATTTTCTTTTTAGATAAAAATGTCAACATTCCGAGCCTTATTTTCAAGATCGTTTCACTACCAATTAATGAAAGCACATTTTCTTTCGCTTGTGTTGTTTAGGTGACTCCATGTCACTGTTGACGGCTGTGCTGATTCTGCTGGCCGTGATAGCCCTGTTGCTGGTTCTGTCCTGCCTCTGTTGTTTCTTGGCCCTCCGACTACGAAGACGGCGGCGTAGGTATCCGGTGTATGAGCGGCGAGTCATGTACGCGTACTTCAATCCCGTTGCAGGGAGGACAATGAAGCGGCCCGAGTTTGTCACGCCCTACGTAGCGAGCGGCCAGGAAGCTAGAAACTACTATGACCAGAGGGTGAGTCGGAAAAATGTCTGTTGATTTTTGTTTTGGATTTGTGCCTTGGAATTGTTTCGGGGATCGAGTCCGAAGTCACAAGCAAGTATGCTTATGACAAGAAACACAATATAGGGGACTACTTTGCTTCTGTCCGTTAGCAGTTTTTCCAGTGCTTGTAATTTTTTTTTTACAGTAACTTAAACCACTTAAAGTGTTTTTGAAATGTGAATGGACATGTAGGCTTATAATACTGTAATATATGTTGAATCATTTTCTTTCTTTCTTTTTTGATTTTTAAAATCACCCTCAAATTTCCATCAAAAATGGATGGAAAAAGTTACCTAAGATTTTTGTCCGCCAGTTGATGGAAATTTGAGGATAATATCAAAAAGCAGTATAAATAATCCAGTCAATTATCTTTAGCAAAAGGCTGTCCATTCATGTGTTGAAATTCTTCTTTGGTGGTTTCAGGTATTTAACAAAAAATCACAATCATTGGAAAACCTGCTAACGTGACGGTAGCAACGTGGCCCCCTTAATTTATTGTGTTTCTTGTCTCACGTTTTTTTCTCACGAATTGGCCACAGGACTTTTGATTTTCTTTTCCCCGTTTGATATTGAGTCCATACATTTTTGTTTGATTTGCAGGCTTTTGAAGGGAAGTATCCAGTTGCTGGCCGCGTTGTCAAAAACCCCATCCTAGCAGAAGCATCAGTCTAGCTGCGACTCTGCAATTCTTCGCTGTAATTAAAAGGAAATTGGTAGATCTCTTTCTTTATCAAATTTAAAATGTCCGTCTTTAACTTGATCATTTTGATGTACTGCATCCATCGTAGAACTGTACTTTCGCCACCAGCTTAAGCTGCTTTAACTACAGCAACCCTTTCAAGACAGTTGGGTATTTGTATTTATAAGTTATAAGCCTAGCTGCACTTCTTTTCTGTTCTGTTCTTTGTTCTGTGCACATTTTGTATATTAAGGTTAAAGACTTTGTACAAATTAGCAATTAAGCAAATTAAGCAATGGGCCAAAAAGCAATATACTGTGTATCTGGGCCAAATTTCATGGCATGCTTACCAAAGAATCCGTGCTTGCGATCACCATTTTGTGCTAACCGCGCTAGCAGAAAAATTCTGTGCTAGCCCTGTAAGCACAGAATCCTTAGTTACGAAATTCCTCGCTGACCCGTGAAATACGCTAAGCAGGGAATATTCCGCTCTAGTAAGCAGGGATTTTTCGCTGCCGGTCAGCAGAGCCAAGAAATCAGGCCCCAGTAACCCACCAACCCTAAAATTGGGGTTGACATTTGACATTTTTGAAAAACATAAAAAAAATTATAGCGTGAAGCTTGCCTGAGAGCTAATGTGATTGTTGCATAATTTCGGGCTTTGCAATGACAAGCTGGAAAACATTCTTACAGTTACAGCCAAATCTTCCTCTAAGCTGGAGAAATCTTCCTCAAAGCTGGAGAATATTGGTACAGTGTACCAGCCTCTTGTGTAAATATTTATATACTCTATATTTATAGAACCTTAACAGTAAAATGCATATTTTGCAACTTTGAGTCTAATTTTGTATATTTTTTGAGTGTGTAATTTTTTAAATTTTTTTTAGGAATTTTTTTTAATAAATATGTTTTATTTGATTTGTGAGACTAAGTCAAGTTTAAGGCATTCTGATATGACTTCAAGTTTGATATCATTAATGCCAAACATATTCGTAATTAAAGTAAAACTTTGGGTTTATTGAAAAACAATATGGTCAAATTGGTTATAGTCTTTACAGTAATTTTTTTGGTGTTCAAAATGCTTTGGTCGAAAATGCTCCCCTGCTCACGCTCGAAAAAATGATAAATTGAGAATATAATGAATAAGTTAAGGATTTTTTAGGGAAAATTTGCTTCCCCCCTTGAAAAAAAACTGGCGACGCCCATGCCGTTTAACTCTTTAATTTGGTCAAATGCCTGAAATCTCATGAACCATGAACCAAATTAATTAACCAAGTCACAAAACAAATTATACACAATATCTGAATATCATTTCAGCCAATGGAACACTTCGGAGATGAGGTTGGCGCAATCCTGCAAGTTACGGCCACGACTAGACCCCATGCCGGCCTACCAAACAAGACAATTTTCTTTATAACAGTTTAACAATTGATGAAGGGATGTTAAGTTAACATTGAAATACATTTTGTTTTGTTAATCATACATGTACAGGGTGAGTCAAAAAGAAAATTACCCAATTTGAACGATACTTTACAAATATTTGGCTTGCTCCATTTCACATTTTAAAAAATGGGGATAAAGTACATCTTATTGACTTTTAACTGTGAACATTTCATGTAATTAACATACTAATAAATTTCCAGGTTATGGCTATTTAAAAAAAAAAGACCACAAAACTCGGCTGTCCACCACTGATCATTTACCAATCTACGAACTCAGCTGTCTATTATTTGTAGCTTTATTGTGGAAACTGTCGGGATAAATTTCCCACGGCTGACTGGCACAGAATTGCCTGAAAATGTATAAACTAGAAAGTGAATTGGGCCCGCAATAAATGGGAGGGGAAAGTTCTTTTGTCGCTCATAAAATGCTTGTCGAATTAATTTCGGTCATGCACAGTTAAGTGCTGAACCGTTCGGCCACCGGCTGCGGAAGCCGGGAGGGAGGTATTTTCAACGTTTCGCTGGCATTTTGACTATAAAAATCTTCGTGTTTATTTCCGGAGCTTTGCCAATTTTAGGCTGCAGTGCAGAGGCGAGAGTGTGCGTATTTTGGAAGGCGTTTGAGCGAAAGACTCGGGTTGTCATCTCATGCAGACCGCACGGTCTCTTTCGCTTGCCTTAGTTAAATGTATCCTTTCATCCGACGTTAACACAATTTTCCTTCATATTAATTTCAGCTACATTTCAAAGATAATTGTGTCGGTCGCGGAAACAAATTCACGTCTCTCAATAACGACCAGAAATGACAGAAAACCCCGCTAGTGTACATCTGACGCGTCAGCGATTATTTTTCTTAAGTTTAAACAGTGAATGAAGCCATATAATTTTTTTAACGAAACTGTCAACATTATATTAGATTGATATAAGATATACGGGCTCGTAGTTGAAAAAAAAAATGAGAGGCCGGAACTAATATGACGCCTTTAGCGCTCCGACCGTTCGATTTTTGAGGAGCAAAATTTCGTGCCCTGAAAATACCCTTGGATAATACCTTGAAATGAAAACGGCAAATTTTCAGTGTGTAGTTTTGTGACCGTTCATCCAAATGCGCCTTTCAACGATCATCCAAGCTGAGAAGTAATACTGAAATTACTGTCTCTTACTCTCTTACGCAAGGATGAAAATGGTACACTCTAAAAAGGCTCTAGTCAGATTGACCTGGAATGTGCGATCATCCGGGTTAACGCTTTTCCAGGTGAAAAAAGTTGACACTCATGTTGGTCGAAAAAGTGACCGTTGCCGCGAAAAACATATGACACATTTCCGGGTCATTTTGACCCAAAAAACCTTGGTTTTATTAAAAGTCAGTTTGACCCGAAAGTGTGTATTTTGACCCGGTAATGGGTAAAGACTAGAAACTCTGGGTCAATTTGAGCAGGGAGTTTTATTTATATGTAGTTTACACTCTTTAAAGACCAGAGTCAAATTTACCTGGACACTTTTCTGAGTCAAAATTAACCTTCTCAATTTTACCCCAAAAATGCCGGTTTTACTCAAAATGTTGTCATTTTCAACCCAGAAGAGTGTCAGATCTGCAGCGGATTCAAGGTCGAATTTGATCCTTGATCTTTAAGAGTGGAATTAATAATATTGTGAGGATCCACGGTTAGTACGCGGAGATTATTAGTTTTCTATAGGCCTACTATTTTTCACAATCTGCAAGTTATGGCAGTGCGAACGTTATCAAACAACGAACTTCTCGGTTCTGGGAGCCTTTTGTGTATTTCAAAGCGAACCGTTGATGGCATACAATGCGACCAAACATGCTACGCCGGTCCCGGCCGACTAGACGCTAAAGAGATATGCGGTCAAGCGCACGAAGCTCGATCCTTCAACAAAAAAACACTTTCCCTTTTCACTGGTAAACAATGTGTGACGGCGGTGACAACCATTTATTCGCCAACTTCTTTTTGGGTTATTTGTTCTTTCTCTATGGTATAATAGTGCAGTTAGCTGGCTGCCTTCAATACATTTTTCTTCGCACAGGGGTGGATCTAACTTTTAGGAAACGGTGTGTGTTATGAAGGGGTGTTAAGTGAGTGTGCCATACTAGGGGGAGGCACGCCTTGCCAGGTGGTCGATCGGAGGGCTTGCCCCAGTACATGGACAATTTTGAAATCTACGATATCATGTTGTTTCCTGCATTCTTATACAAGTTAGTCTTGAAAAAAAGAAATACATTTTTAGGCGGACTGCGTTCGCCTTATGCAAGGCCCATTTATGCGCATGCGTGCATTATTATAAATGTATTAGTCCATTGTTATGTTGGGGCATTGATCAGAATTCGAAAGATGGGATATCTGTATCTGTTAGATTCTGTACAAACGCCTGGTGTGGCTTTCGCGTACAGCCTCGTGGTGTATGTATGAGGATAACTGCCAGAAACACCGGGGCGAACCCCTTCTCTTAGCGATAAGTGTTTGCTGGGTTCTTTTATGTGCATTTATACAACCCACGGGACGGCTTTACGTCCCATCCGAAGGACGGAGCAATAATGGTTAAGTGCCTTGCTCAAGGGCACAAGTGTCCGGGCCCGGTGTCACGGTCTCACTTCTCCGGCGTGCTAGCTTCTCCGGGTCGATTTGGCGGATAACTGAGCACGTTACAGTGCACGTTACATGAGCACGATTCATGCTCATGTGTCCGCTGTGCTTACTTTTCCCATGGAGGAAGTCTATTCCTTCCTCCATGCTTTTCCTCGGGCTGTTTTCTGAAGTCTACCAAGCCCATTACAGTGAGGGATGACACCCAAGAATGTGTTATGTAACACTTCCTGTGGGTCAAGTCATTCCATGGTCTTGCAAGCATTCTGATTTGTGTTCCCAGCGTCATGCATGTGTGTGTTCATGGAGGAATAATTAAGAACGAACTCCTTGGTCCGTGTTCCTTGCTCGTTCGTGGTCCATTTTGTCCTTATTTTTGCAACCACGGCTTAAAATAAATGTGCATTTCAAATTCAAGTCTTTAATATTGGGAGTTAATAGTGCGCGCCACGAAAATTCTATGCATACAAATATCTTACGTACACAAGTACAGCCCCGAAAAACTCAGCACACTAATACAGTGACGAAATTGTACACTACTGCGCAATTTTGTGCATGCGTGTTGAAGCGAAAATTCCGTTTTGGAGAAGCTAGCACGCCGGAGAAGTGAGACCGTGACACCGGGCTTGAACCCACGCCACTGTTGCCTCTGAAACACCAGAGCATGAGTCCACCAGGCCATGTCACCCCATTATCAGCGAGTAATACGCTGTGCAGGGCCTATAGGCCATAGCATGGCACACGACGTAGTCGGGAAGCTGACGTACCGATTTTCCCCTTGTGTATTTCACAGATTGGGATGGGCGGCATCCGAAGGGAACATAGCACGTCCTTCCCCTTCATATCTGTTGTGGTGATCGGAAACCGTACGTCAAACCGCGATTCGCGCCAATACGTTTTCAAAGGTTAATTGATTATGTGGCGTCGTGTGGTTTATTGTTTGTGTCCTTGTAGCCTATGTGATAAGCCTAGGTACTGCGCTCTCTCACCCATATCCGTTCAGACAAACACTCTACACTGCCTTTTTCTTTCGAAATATGCCTATACATGTAACAATGATCAACACTCGTACCTTGCCATGCATTATGGAAGAGCCTTTATTGACAATACATTTGACTAAACTTTCGCCAGGTGGATTGAAAGTTTTCAACTGAGTGTGTCTACTGCAACCTGGCCTAAATGCGACCTAAATTATTGAAAAAGTAGGTCTATGCTATCATTAATTAATTTAACTCAACTTCAGCAGGAGTGGGTATGCAAGGGCCATATTTTGGAAATCATCCCAAAAATGTGAGGCTTAAGTTAGGCCTACTCCGGCGATCAGTAACTGCCTAAGTCATTTTTTTTAAGGACGAAACACAAGTTAATCAAATTCGTTCATTGTACGTTTATTATCCGATCATTATAATACAGTTTTCCCCTCCCTTTTCGTCCCCCCCCCCCGCCAAATCATTTTTTTGTAACCTTCAATAAAACTAAAAAAGGTTTTTTCTACATTGTTTAAATGGTCACTGTTTGTAAAGCAAATTGAGAAATTGGGAGCGCCCCCAAGTGGCAGCATTTTCATAATAGTCTGGTCCCCTCAACGTACTTCCGGATTCACTTGTGTCACATCTACCGTACGCGCGCACGGATAGAGCGGGTGAAAAGCTGGGTCACTGACACATAATCCATGCTGAAATCAAGCGCGGTAAGTACAAACAATTTGGATGTTTTTACTGGTGTTACTTACGGGATCACTTTGCACAAGAAGTGCAACTCTCTGTTTATTTTTATCTCGATATTTGCCTCTGAATTAAATCGCACAAGGAATTTGCTGTGCGTTGTGTTTGTGTCTCTCTAGTTTTGACGTACTGAGTCTGGCCTGTTAGTGTTGTAGTACTCGTACTCGGTACTCGTATTCAAGTGCTACTCGAGTACTTTTTTTGAGTACTCGTACTCGTACTCGAATTGACAGTACTCATGCTCGGGCAGCAAAGTACTCATACTCGACA